AAACTTTCTTTAAAGTTATCTCTCTTAAAGATATTAAATTATATAGCTAGTTTTTTAATATAAAAATTCTAATATAATTAAAGTTTACGAGTAGCTTTATCTTAAAGGACTTAAATACCTAAAAACTATTATAGCTTATTAAGGTTCTTTAAATTAACCTATAATATAAAGAACCTTAATAAGCTATAATAGTTTCTAGGTATTTAAGTCCTTTAAGATAAGGCTACTTGTAAGCTTTAGCTGTATTAGAATTTCTATATTAAAAAACTAGCTATAAAATTTAATATCCCTAAAAAAGATAGTTTTAAAGGAAGTCTAATACCTAGAAATTAATTAGAATTTAATTTAAGTATTACAACTATTAATTAAATTCATTAATATTAACAGATAATTAGTTCTATTATAAAATAACGTTAAATTAAATTAAAAGCTTTTAATTTAATAAATTTTATTAAATTTAATAATAAGCTACTTTAAGTAATACCTTATATAAAAGATAACCTTATTATCCTTTAATATAACTCTTATAACTAGGTTTTAATTATAGCTCTTTTTTAGAAAGCTATTTAGTAAGGCTATATTTATATGAAAGGTTAGAAGAAAGGCTACTTACTTTAGCTAAAAGAGCTTTATTTGTATTTATAAAGAGACCTTTTTATAGCCTTTAATTTAAAGCTTTATATTACTTATAAAGGCTTCTTTAAGCTATTAAAGAACTTAATAATTAATAAATTAATTAAGATTATTATAAATATAATATTTACCCTAGAATCTAGGATAAAAGAGTCTCTTAAAGGGTAAATATTCTTATAGATTAACTAGATAAATAACGTGGCTACTTACTTCACGTAATTTAACCTATACTTTCATTAATTATAGCCTTTTTTATTAATTTAAGCGTTTTTAGTGTTTTTAGCGTTTTTAAGCCCTTTAAGCTACTCTTACTTTTTAACCTTTTAAGCCCTTTAATATTTAAACCTTTATAAGCTACGTTATTCATTAATTCTTTAGGCTTTTAATACTTATAAAAAGCGTTTGTTAGCTTCTTTAATTTAATACTATTAAGGCTTAAATTACCCTAGCGCTTATAAATAGCCTTTAGCTTATAAAGAACCTTATTAATAAGAGCTTTTATTTTAAAGAATACCTTATTATTATTATTAAAGTTAGCTTAAAAACGTAATTCCTTTTATTTTTAGGTTTTCTTATTACTTTTAATTAATTTAATTAAAAGCTTATTAATAGGCTTAATTAACTTTTACTTTAATAAATAAGTTTAATAGCTTTTATTAAACTTAAGCTTTAATTTTAATATTAGGCTTTTATATTAAGTCTTTAAAAGGCTTATTAAGATATAAATGCTAATAATAGTAGTATATTTAACTATAAAGGTAATTTAAAGCTATCTTTAACCCTTTTTATTAATTATTTTTAGGTTAATTAAGTACTTATAATAAATTTAAGGTCTTTAATAATAATAGGCTTAATATAATTATTTTAATAGCTTAAAAATATAAGGCTAATTACGAAAAACTACTCTTACCTTTTATAGCCTTTTAATATTAATAATATTATTTATATAGATTATTAATTTAAAAGCTATTTAAAATCTTATTTATTTAACCTTTCTTATTAATTTAAAAGCTATTTAAATTAATACGCTTATAATTTACCACGCGAAAACATTTATTAATAAGCGATATAAGAAGGTTAAATATTCTAAAACGTATCTCTTACGCGTTTATAGTAATAGAATATATACTAATAATATTAGTGTCTTTAAAGGCCTAATTAAAAAGGTAAAGATTATATAATAGTAATATTAAGAATTAGCCTTATTATTATAAGCGTATAGCTTTTAAGGCACGTGAATTATAACTATAATAACTTACTTTTTTAGCCTTAATAATTCCTAGAGATTTTATTAAAAGGCTATTAAAACTTACATTTTTTATAACCTTATGTATAGCTTATAGTTACACGTTTTATATACGCTAATTATTAACTATATGTAAAATAAGTAAGCATTTATTTAGTTTATATTACTAAGCGAGCTAGTAGAACTACTATAAGAACGCTTAAAATAGATTTTTTAGGCTAATTAAAATACGATAATACTAGACTATTACTAGTATTTAACTACTTATATTCTAGTAAAATTATATTAAAGCTATAATTTAGGTATAAAACTAACTAGTAAATAAAATATAAACTTACTTATAATATAGAATATTAAAGGCTTTAATACTAGCGTTTTTATAATTTATATAACTAAATAAAGTGTTAATTTTCTTAGTAATATTATTATATTTAAGTATTTTAAGCCTAATATTAAGCTTCTATTTAACGAATAAATAATAATAGAGAAACTTCTCTTAAAGAATTAATATAAAAATAACGTTATATATATCTTATAGCCCTAGCTTAATACGTATACCTAAAATAATACGCATAACTTTATAAGCTAAAAGAACGTAAAAGGCTTAAATAACTAGGCCTTAAAGCGAGGTAACTTTCTTATTTATTTTACGGGAAATAAAAATAAAGAATTAAATATTATAAAGTATTTTAAAGTAAGGGAGAAAATATTTAATATTTAAGAAACACGTAATATATTATAGGATATAAGTATAAATATTAAGCATTTTTAGGGACATTATAGTAATAGATAAGGCTAAACTTTTTTCATGTTATTAGCTATATATTAAACGGCTTTAAATTTAAAAATAAATATTATATTATTACTTATTAGTATTTTTAGGATTTATTTCTTATCTCTTATTTATATAACTTTAACGCTAATTAATATATTCTAGTCTTTATTAAGATATACGTATATTAAAGCCTTTATAGTTATTTATAGCTATAATTACCTCTTAGCTAAATTAATATTAAGTAGCTTTATTAAGTATATAATAGGCTTAACGGTAATAATTAAGCCTAGTTAACACTTTTAAAACTACTTTTACATTTAAGTAATAGTTAAAGATAATTATAGGAAAGTAATAAAATAATTCCTATTATCTTTTCTTATATAACCTAATAGTAATTACTTAAGACTTAATCCTTTTAATTTATTTATACCTTACTTAATAGATATTATTATTTTATCTTAATATATACGCTATTATATCTTATTAGCCCTATAAAGTTTAAACTAACCGCTACTAATAAACACGTAAATCTTATTATAAAAGAGGCTCGCTTATAGTATAGTATATTATATTAGGAATAACCTATATTTAAGTTACCCTTAATTTCTAAAGCTAGTAAAGCCGTATAACATGGGTTTTATTTGTAACATTTTAAGCTGGAGTTACATTTATCTTGACACCACGATAGTCGCAGTAACTTAAGCCCACAGTAAAGATGATACGGAAAGTACCTTTAAATTTAAGCCTTAAATAATTAAACAGCTAATAATAGGGTATTTTAAGTAATATTTTTAAGCTTAAAGACTATTAAAAGGCCTAAGAATTTATCTTCAATTATTAAAGCTATTAACCTATTATTATAATTAAGCTTAAATTAAAAGATATTAATATAAATCCTTTAAAAGGGTCTTAGGCTTATTATTTAAAAGCTTTTATAAGAGATAACCCTTTTAGCCTTAGCGCTTTAAAATAGGCTTTATAATTAATTTATATAAGGCCTTAAATCTTATTTAATAAATTTTATTAAATTAAATATTTAAGGCTATTTACGTTTAAGTAGCTTAATTATTAATGCTAGAGGTTAATTAAAGCTATTTTTTAAGGTTAAGGTAGTATTAAATTAGATTAAAAGCTTTTAATTTAATAAATTTTATTAAATTTAATAATAGGTTACTTAAAGTAATGCCTTATATAAAAGATAACCTTATTATTCTTTTATATAGCTTTTATAGCTAGGTTTTAATTATAGCTCTTTTTTAAAAAGCTATTTAATAAGGCTATATTTATATAAAATATTAAAATAAAAGCTACTTACTTTAGCTAAAAGAGCTCTATTTATATTTATAAAGAGACCTTTTTATAGCCTTTAATTTAAAGCTTTATATTACTTATAAAGGCTTCTTTAAGCTATTAAAGAACTTAATA